ACCCCTAAATCCTAAATCCTCAACCCCCAAACCCTAAACCCTAAACCCCCAAACCCTAAACCCTAAACCCTGAACCCTAAACTCCAACCCTAAGTCGCGTCTTCGCAGGACGCCAAGCGGCTCAGCAAAGCGACAGTTGGCAGACCCAATGCACTTGGCGCTCTTCTTGCTGGAGGCATCAAGGGTTTGGGCTTAGAGGTTGGGGCTTAAAAGGTTTAGGGTTTAGGGGTTGGGGTTCAGTGATTTGAGGTTTAGGGTTCAGGGTTTAGGGCTTTAGGGGCTTAGGAGCTGGGGTTCAGTGATTCAGGGTTTAGGGTTCAGGGTTTAGGGCTTTCCGGGCTTTGGGGGCATAGCTTGCTGGAGGCAGACATCCGACTCGTGCGTCTGGAGTTCCTGCGAGAGCCCTTGCTCGATCTGCAGGTTTTTTGGGCTCCTTCGCAGTATGTATATATATACATATATATATATATATATACATACACATATATATATATATATATATATATATTTATATATATATATATATATATATATAAATAAATATAAATAAATAAATAAATATATATATATATATATATATAAATGTATGAAGAAACCGTAAGGACTAAACGTGTTAGTTAGTTAGGCTTCGATGTTATCATCCTGATACTATCTAAGCTTGAGTACGTCGTCATGCTATCGCCTTGTGGGATGCTTGTCATAGCTGCAGTACGATATGTCCCAAAGCCCTACTGAAATGCTGTACCTATTATATTTGGGCCTTTCCCTTATGTCACAGTAAAGGGGGCTTCGAGTTGAGGGTTTAGGATTTTCGGTTAAAGGGTTTAGGCTTCAGCGTCCAGGGATGTATTCGGCATTGAGGGTTGTAGGCTGTTGGTTTTAGGGCTTTCGGGTCGGAGCTTGATACGCCCCACACCACTGAGCATATGAGAGTTATACCCTTTTGAATAGCTCAGTCATGAAACCTTGAACTCGTAGCACTAAGCTGAACCTAGACTTCGGTTTAGGGTTTAGGGTTTAGGGCTTCGACGCACCGAGGAGTTGCATGAGTCCAGGGGCGTTTGGCCACGTCGGCAAGAGGCGGAGAAGATGAAGACACGCTCGGGTTGGTCGGCGCTCCTCAGTCATGCAGAGGTGGGGAGGACCGGACCTATAGTCTCCATTGTAGTTCTTTTTTTTGGTTTAACCAATTATATATTAAGGATCCTATAAGGTAACCCCAAAAAAGGAACTACAATGGAGACTATAGGGAGGGCTGGAATCGTCTCAGAGAATGAGGCAAACATAAATTGTGATAAGCATCGACCATGCCAAACACCAACAAGAACCATAGAACAAAAACAGAAGCCGCAGAATGATAGTCTCACGGTTCGCGGCACCCATATTAACCCAAGGTTTTAGCTCAAGTATATGTCCCCGAACCTAGAGAAAAGCCATGGGTCTCCCGAGGGTTGTACCTGGAACTCCTACCATCGACTAGGATGCCCAGTAGTACCCCTATTCCCTTTTAGTAGTCCTGGTTCCTTCTAAAGTTCCCCAATACCAAAGAAAGAGGCAGCCCTTTTTATTCCTAGGTTGCTGGGCATCCTAGTAGAAGTTGCGCACCACCATTATAGAAGTTGCTCATGCGAAGCATGGGTTTAGGGCATCGGAGTCAAGGTTATAGGGTTTAGGGAAAGCTTCCCAAGAACCCTCGAGAGAAGCCACCCCGGCTTTCCATACTCGCTTTTTCATCCTTATGAGCCCAGTTAATTTTGAATAACTATCTGGTTATGATTGAAGTCTATTATACCCCCCCAAAGTCCTTCTCTTTAATTAAACGGCCCCTATGTTGTCTTACCAGTAAGACACCGGATTGACAGTACTGCGAGGTTTATCGAAGGCGTAAGGGACAGCAAACCACTTTATAGGCAACTGGCTCCTACCTTCCTGTTCAGCAGTTTTCAGTTTGCAGCTTGGATCTTTGCAGAGAGAGACCCGGACTCTACAGAGCTCCTTGTTCCAAGAGACCCCCAGAAAGGGCTGCTATTTTGAAGTCTCCCTCTCTCTTTTTTCCCGAATGCTCTGCAGAAGGGTTCCCGTTTAAGAGATTGGGGTCCAGGGGTCCAGCAGGTGACCAGCGATCGTGGTTAAAGCGTTCGCGAAGCGTCTGCAAAGCGTCCGCAAGCGTCCGCAAGCGTCCGCAAGCGCCCGCGTGTGACGCGAGGTGTGTCGCGCAGCGCTGTTAAGGGGAAACCCCACAGGACGCGCGTCCCGACTGCGTTCTGAATCCGCCAAGCTAAAGAAGAAACTACACAGAACGCGCGTCCCGACTGCGTTGTGAATCCGCCAAGCTAAGGGGAAACTCCACAGGAGGCGCGTCTCGCACGCGTCCAGTTCGCTCATTGTTGCATGATCACTTCTCCTGCTATTTTCCTTAGGGGATGCGATATCTTTTTTTTTTTTTTTTTTTTACTTTTTTCCTTTTTTTTCTCATGTTCATCGCAAGGACTGTGAAGCATCTCTGCGGAAAAAAAAGATCGGCGGCTCGCACTGGCTAGGTTTCTTTTAAACAGTCAGAGAACGGCCCTACAGGGGATGCGATATACGCGTTACGCGTGTCTGCATTCGGGTTCGTGGCCCCTATCTGGTTCAGTTTCCCCTCAGCCCTGACATCAATCTCCAGCCCTAAACCCTGAACCCATGAGGTGGAAACTAAGGTTATAGTTAATCCTAAACCCTATAGATCCCTTTAAGGAACCCTATAGATCCCTTGAAGGAACCCTGTACCCATGAGGTGGTAACCTGGGCAAAGGCCATGCTCAGAGATCCACAGCAGCAGCGCGTGATTTCCGTGTCGCACATGTGGGAGGCCGCGGAGCATCCCGATCCCTTCGGACGCCCGGGCTTTTGCGCAGCTTCTTTTTCAGGGTTTAGGGTTTAGGGTTTGGGGTTTAGGGTTTAGGGATTAGGGCTCTTTTTCAGGGTTTAGGGGTTTTTAGGGAGTTTCAGGCTTTAGGATGTAGGGTACAATAGGATTTACACGCTATATGATATCCCCACCAAGTTATCTTTTTGCTTCCATTCCCCTGAGCCCAAACTCCTAAGTCCTCAGCCCCAGACTAAACCCTGAACCCGGGACTCCAAAAGCTCAAAACAATAAAGCGTTAACAGTAAGGGGTTAGGGTTTAGGGTTCAGGGTTTAGGGTTGAGGGTTTAGGGGTTTGGGGTGCCCCTACTCAACCCTAACTCTCCGTCCCTCTCCGTCCCTCTCCGTCTCTCTCCGTCCCTCTCCGTCCCTCTCCCTCTCCGTCCCTCTCCCTCTCCGTCCCTCTCCGTCCCTCCCTCTCCGTCCCTCTCCCTCTCCGTCCCTCTCCGTCCCTCTCCGTCCCTCTCCGTCCCTCCCTCTCCGTCCCTCTCCGTCCCTCTCCGTCCCTCTCCCTCTCCGTCCCTCTCCGTCCCTCTCCGTCCCTCTCCATCCCTCTCCGTCTCTCTCCGTCCCTCTCCGTCCCTCTCCGTCCCTCCCTCCCTCTCCCTCTCCGGTCCCTCTCCTCCGTCCCGCTCCGTCCCCTCTCCGTCACCCTCTCCTCCCTCTCGGGGGCCGTCCTCTCTCCGCCCTCCGTTCCCTCTCCGTGTCCCCGTGCTCCTCTCTCCCTCTCACCGTCCCTCGTGCCGTCCTCGTCCCCTCTCCTTCCTCCCCTCTCCCTCCTCCCTCTCCGTCCCCCCTCCGTCCCTCTCCGTCCTCTCCGTCCCTCCGTCCCTCTCCCTCTCCGTCCCTCTCTCACTCCCGTCCCGCTACCTCTCCCGTCTCTCATGCCTCTCCCCGCCCTCTCCTTGCCTCTCCGCCCTCTCCGTCCGCTCTCCGTCCTCGCCGTCCACGCTCCGTCCCCTCTCCTTCCTTCTCTCTCCGTCCCCCATCGTCCCTCCTCCGTCCCTCCCCCCCTCTCCGCCCCCCGCCCTCTCCGTCCCCTCTCCGCCCCTCTCCAGTCCCTCTCCGTCCTCTCCTCCCTCTCCGTCCCTCTCCGTCCCGCTCCCTCTCGCCCTCGCCCCTCCTCCGTCCCTCTCCCTCCTCCGTCCTCCCGTTCCCTCTCCGTCCCTCTCCGTCCCCCTCCCTGTCCTCTCCCTCCTCCGTCCCCTCCCGCCCCTCCCTCGCCGTCCCTCTTTCCCGTTCCCTCTCCGACCCTCTCCGTCCCCTCTCCTCCCTCTCCGTCCCTCCCTCCCTCTCCGTCCCCTCCTCCGTCCCTCCCGTCCCTCTCCGTCCCTCTCCGTCCCGCGCCCGTCCCTCCCGTCCCATCTCCCGTCCCGCTCCCTCCTCACTCGCCGTCCCTCTCCTCCTTCTCCCTCTCCGCTCCCTCCCTCTCCCTCTCCCTCTCCCTCTCACTCTCCGTCCCCTCTCCGTCCCTCTCCGTCCCTCTCCGATCCCTCTCCCTTCTCCGTTCCTCTCCGTCCCTCTCCGTCCCTCTCCGTCCCTCTCCGTCCCTCTCCGTCCCTCTCCGTCCCTCTCCGTCCCTCTCCGTCCCTCTCCGGTCCCTCTCCGTCCCTCTCCGTCCCTCTCCGTCCCTCTCCGTCCCTCTCCGCTCTCCGTCCCTCTCCGTCCCTCTCCCTCTCCGTCCCTCTCCGTCCCTCTCCCTCTCCGTCCCTCTCCGTTTCTCTCGGGATGATAGAATCCACACCGCGCCTGAGGCGAACAGACTTCCAGGAGATCCTGGGCAACAGGCCTGGGGCTAGAGGTGCGAGTTTGTTTAACACTCTCTTGACAGCGAACACACTCTCGTGACAGCGAGCCCTTAAAGTGCTTGCTTCAACATGCTTCTTTGAGCATCCTAAACGCGGATGCAAGATGAGCATATCGAAGTTTTTTGGCTGAGCCCGCTAAAGCGACAAGGGTACAGTTAGGGTAGCAAAGTCCTAACCAGCCTGTGAAGCCATAGTGGCGAGAGTTTGAGAAATCGGTGCCTCTTTACTGCTTCGAACCAGCGTCTGCACCAAGTGTGTTTCGTGGCAAGTCAGACTTTCAGACCATGGTCGGCAGTGAGGCTTCCGATAGTCAGCGAAGAGGAAGGCCTCTTCTAGCAACGGCGGCCCAGCAGTTTCCGGCCCCGACAGCAGAGCCCAGAAGATCGCGAACGAGATCCAGGGAGCCCGAAGAGGCCAACACACGCACAGAGCAAGAGCCTGAACTCAACATGAGGAAAGAAGAAGAGGATAAGATCCGGAATATCAAAATGGCAGTAGAAGATGAGTTCGCCAAAGTGATCCCAGCAGACTCTTTGAAGCTGATCAAAAAGGTGTCTTTGGAACTTGCAACGAAGATAGAACAGCTGCAGAAGACCAACTCCCGCATCATGCAGCATGAGAAAGACATCGAGTGCCTGAAGATGATGAGGGTTCCGAATGGGATGAAGCCAGTTTCGTTCCCCTACGAGACTCCCTTCTTGGACTCTCTTACCTTTGGAGAGAGTTCATGGCACGTAGAGATCCCAGAGCAAACTACGCTGAGGGATGCTAAGAAGATCATCCACTGCAGCTACCTGCACTCCATGCGGAAGATTGACCTGATGATAGCTAATGCCCAGCGAGTAGACCTTCGAAAAGCCACCAAGAAGTCTGAGTTCGTGAACAAGTGCTCAGAGTCTTTCAAGTCTAAAGTCCAGACTTGGCGGGATTTAGATCTGGATTTTGAAGAGGAAGAACCGGAAGCCAACAAGATCACAACCAGCATGGTGGAGTCCAAAGCGAGCAACGTCTACAACAAGACTGTGGACCAGGCGGCAGCTTTAGTCAAGAAGCGCAAGGATCACTTGAAGTTCCAGGAGAAGAAGAAGCAGGACATGGTCAACAAGATGCTCCTGAAAACCCCGGAAGAGCTGCTCAAGCAAACGATTGACGCGCGCATCAAGGAGAATGTGAAGCAACGTTCGGCGAACAGCAGCAGAGATGGAGTGAACCCGCACTTGAACTCAGCCAGTGCGTTCGTGGCTACCACCAGTGGAATGCAAAGTGACCCTGTCGAGACCTTCTGGATCGAGACCGCCAAGCAGAACAACAAGACTCAGCAAGACCCCAAAGGAGGAAAAGGAAAAGGAAAGGGCAAAGACAAAGGAAAAGGAAAAGGAAAAGGACAGGACAAGGGCAAAGGAGCTTGGAAAGGCGTGGACACCAAAGGGGCGAAGGGCAAAGGAGCCGCGAAAGGAAAGGCGAGCAAAGGACCATCCTCCCACCCGTCCAGTGATGCATCGAAGTCTTTTTTAGGGTATGCCTGGCACCACGCAAAGAAAGGAAAAGGCAAAGGAGGCAAGCCTGGAAAAGGCAAGGAAGGGAAAGGAAAAGGCAAAGCTGGATGGAGGAAGAGATGGTGAGACGGTTCCTTGACCTCACCCGCAGCATGACCGCTCCAGAGTTGAAAATTTTGATGGATTGTGGAAAGGGCCACCCGGGTGCCTACTTCTATGTTCCTGAATACAAGTGCGCTTCAATTCTGGAGAAAGGCCAGGTGCCATGGCCTGTGGAATTCGTTTTACGTTTACATCCGAAGCATATTTTTCAATCTAAGAGACTGCCGCCGATGTCAGAACTGAGCCGTGCCATCTCCCAATGGGAGAACAAGTTGAGATGGAGGCTATTCCATTCTGAATCCGAGGGGGACAGCCAGGAGCGATCGGTATGGTGGAAGCTGCGAAGCCGTAGAAGCACACCACCATGCCCTCACAAGCTGGCTGATGAATGGGAAGTTTTCATCTATGAATTGAAGAGAGGAGTCTTCACCACGGCCTATGGGAAGCGAAGCAGTTTGAAGTTTTCTCAGTCTTGCATTTCGAACCTCAGCAGAGTAGCAAAATGGGGAATCCAAATGCTGCGCGAGGGCCCGGTAGGAGCTGTGCGTACAGACAAGGATGGGGGATATGCTCTCGTCTGGAAGCAGTCTCTTGCGAAGGCGGTCCTTGATTCCTTATCTTTGCCCGTCTACGGGGAAAGATTTGCTCATGAAGCAATGGTTGAGGATATCGCTCAGGACTACACCTACATAGTCAAGTACATCGGCCACCAAACAGAGGACGCAGATCTCTAAAATTAACTCCTATCTTCGTTGAGGAGTGGGTGCAGAAGTTTTGTTACTAAGATCTTGACAACAGTCAAGACCCACAAGCCTGAAGGAGAACAGAAGATGAGGTTGGTACATGCTGCTCCGGATCATTTCATGAAGCCGGGTATGAAGTGGATTTCCTCCCTCCTCAAAACACACTTGGCTCAGTATACCCATATACTCAAGGACACTGATCACCTTCTTGATGTCCTTCGCCAGGTAAAAGTTCCTCCAGAGGCTTGGCTTTTCCGTTTTGATGTCAAGGAGTTTTTCATGTCTGGGACACACTCTGCGATATGTACAGCTACAGAAGAAGCTTTTCCAGCGAAGTTCCGGGAATCCGCGCGCTTACTGGTGGAGCACATACTCAAATCGCAGATAGTAACAGACGGTTTCCATGATCTCCTCTATGACGTCCGTATAGGATCCGGCATGGGACTCACCTGCAGTGGAGAGCTGAGTGACTGTGCGTTTTGTCATTTAGCTGAAAGCAACTTCGCGGCAGACCATATGACCCAGAGCCAGTTCGGGATCATCTTTTATGCCAGATTAAAAGATGACGGATTGATCATCACATCTGGCTCTCGTGACCAACGCCGGAGTTTCGAGAGACTTTTCCGAGAGAAAGCCAAACCTTTTGCTATCCATTTTGATGAAGTGAGCCAACAATCGATCTCGATGCTTGATGTAGTGCTTTTCAAGGGCCCAGGGTGGAGGAAGACAGGCGTCTTAGACTACAGACTCCACACGAAGCCTACAAACCAGTGGACACGTTTGCTATGTTCATCTTCGCATCACCCATCTGTGCACGCTTCATGGCCGAAAGGGCAGCTGAGACGCATCAAGATGCGATGCAGCGACCCTGCTACAGCCATGGCTGAAGCACGGAAGTTCAAAGACCGCTACCGGCACCACACGGGGTTTGAAGCCTGTGAGGATGAATCCGGCCCGCGGTTGAAGAGAAGAGATGGACATAAGCATTTGCCCAGACTGGTGCTTCCATACAGGCAAGCTTGGAGTGAATCCAGGATCCCACACATCTGCAACAGGGTCTGGAAGAAGTGCCAGATGGATCTCCATACTGGACAACCAGCAGACTTACAGATGTGTTGGCGATTGCCTGATAAGCATTTGACGCACAAAGTCCGCGAAAGCAACTATGTCATGAAAGCATACGGAGAGACTCAAATGGAGGAGCAAGGGGATGGAAGGAGGGTGACTCCCTCTCCGTTTCTCTCGGGATGATAGAACCCACACCGCGCCTGAGGCGAACAGACTTCCAGGAGATCCTGGGCAACAGGCCTGGGGCTAGAGGTGCGAGTTTGTTTAACACTCTCTTGACAGCGAACACACTCTCGTGACAGCGAGCCCTTAAAGTGCTTGCTTCAACATGCTTCTTTGAGCATCCTAAACGCGGATGCAAGATGAGCATATCGAAGTTTTTTGGCTGAACCCGCTAAAGCGACAAGGGTACAGTTAGGGTAGCAAAGTCCTAACCAGCCTGTGAAGCCATAGTGGCGAGAGTTTGAGAAATCGGTGCCTCTTTACTGCTTCGAGCCAGCGTCTGCACCAAGTGGGCTTCCATTCCCCTGAGCCCAAACTCCTAAGTCCTCAGCCCCAGACTAAACCCTGAACCCGGGACTCCAAAAGCTCAAAACAATAAAGCGTTAACAGTAAGGGGTTAGGGTTTAGGGTTCAGGGTTTAGGGTTGAGGGTTTAAGGGTTTGGGGTTCCCCTACTCAACCCTAAACCCTAAGCCCTAAACCCTAAAAAGGAGCTTTTAAAAAAACCCTAAACCCTAAACCCACGGTTCCCTGGCAAGACCCCAGGATTTCAGTCGAGTGAGTTGGTCGGCCTCCTGGAAGATGGCTGGAGGCTCGCGTCTCCCTCCTAAACATACGGTTGATTATATAAATCCTGGGGTTCCTTTGAAGGGATCCATAAGGGTACCTTTAAGGGGTGCCTTTAAGGGTTTTTTAGGGTTTGAGGGTTTAGGGCTGATGATATAAATCCTGCATTACTTTAAGGACCTTAGACTATGGAAATTATGTTATATTCCTTATTCTGGGTAATGCAGGATTTATATCATCAACCGTAGGAGGTCTAGTTCTGGGTTTAGGGTGCAGGATATTTCTCTTGGGGGGTTCAGGGTGTATGGTTGAGTGCCTTAGCCTTGAGCAATTCTGGTGTACTATTTCTTGGGGCTCCATGTTGTAAAGCCGAGTATCGTTGGAATTCTTCAGGCTGCTCAGTCAAAGTCTTGGCTGCAGACCCAGAAAACACCGGTGTTCTTGTGAAGGATCCTAGTTGATCATAGGCTGTGAATCATGGACTGTCCTTTCCGTGCAAAACGAAAGCTCGAAACTGTAAACTTGGAACATAGAGCCGGAGTATCCCGCTCCCGATTGTGTAAACGGGGAGTGTGAGATCGTAACAGATGGGTCGGACATGTTTTGTGTAGACAATATTTCATTTTAGGCCCTACTAGACTTACAGTAGAAGCCCAAAAGTTGGACACCCAATAGCCTCAATCCTTAAGTTTACTGCACAAGGAATTCCGGCACTATTTGGCCTTAATCCGGTTTCCAACTTTATGGGTGTACTGTAGTAGTATGCAACACTCCAAATTCCTATACTAATGACTCAGGCCCCCTACTTGGAGGATCGGGGGACTTAGTAAGTTAGGTTATAAGTACCTTAATTGGGGTTATAAGTAGTTATATGTATGGTTACCTTAATTATAACCCTAACTTACTAAGTCCCATAATCCTTCAAGTACAGCAATATCATGGACCTCCTGCTGCGAACTGTCAGTCCGACTCGCTTGGGCTCCCTGATACAATCATAGCACGCTTAAGGGTGTACTTGGAGGATCAGGGGGGCTCCTTCAAGGGATCTATATAGGGTTCCTTAAAGGGATCTATAGGGTTTAGGGTTTAGGGTATAGTTGGGAGGATCAGGGGACTTAGCAAGGTAGGTTGTAAGTACCTTGATTGAGGTTATAAGTAATTATAAGTACTGTTACCTTAATTATAACCGGAGTTACTAAGTCCCATGATCCTTCAAGTAGGGCTGTGCTACCCCAAAAGCTTCAGTCTGAGTCACTCAGAGATCCCAATACCCCTTCGTTATCCCAATACCCCTTTCTTTAAGGAATATACTAATATACCTTAAACTATAGGGGGATCACTATTACGATTTAAGGTATATTCCTTAATTAAGGGGTATTGGGATCTCAAGGCAACCCGCATAGGAACCCGCAGGAGGAGCTCCAATTTAAAGCCAGAAAGCGCCCAGAGAGTCTCGAGGAGCGTAGGGCTGCGTTCAACCCAGAGACTCCAATATCCCTTAATTAAGGAATATTCCTTAAAATATCATAGGATCCCTCATGATTTAAAGAATATTCCTTCATTGAGGGATATTGGAGTCTCTGGGAACTATGGTACAGCATGCCCCGAGAAGGCTAATGCCGTTAATGCAACTAAACCCTACAGCAAGCCCTAAACCCTAGTATGGAGGTCCCGAACGTTTCCAGACAGGAGAGACCCAACCATGATTGTCGGAGTCTTTATTGACTTCATGAGCCTCTACCAGTTCTTCTGCGGCAGAAAATTCAGGTTTAAGTTTTGGAGTTCGGGATGTGTAAGGGCTGTATTGGCTTTAGAGTTTTAGGGAAAAGGGTTTACTGCTGCTTTTCAGGGCTCTTGTTTTGATGTTAAGCCGGTTCTGGAGCTCTGTAGTGTTCGGATTTGTTGGCAGACTCAGGTTATTTAGGGTTTAGGGTTTAGGGTCAATGTCAGGGATCCTGTTTGATTTTTGCGGCTTCGGTTTCCTAAGATTCAGCAACGGAGCCGCCGAAAAGGACATCCTTTAGGTTTGGGGTTTCCCGACACGAACTCAGGTTCCGGCGCCAGAAACATCAAGAGAAGGCCTTCCAACAGGCACTTTGCCAGATGCACCTGCTCTACGTGCACGACTGGACACACACCGCCAACTGGGCAGTTCTTGAACTAGTTTTCATTTGGAGTAAGTGTGGTGATAAGAAGTTCTTCATACAAGTCTCGCGAACCCCTTCACCCAAAGCCCCAAAGCCCCCTGGACCCTAAACCCTCAACCCTAAACCCCTTTTCCCCAAACCCCTAAGCTCTAAGCCCTAAACCCTCAATCTTCAAGAAGAGCACAGGTCTCTCTGACAGGCCTTACGCCTTGGTCCTGGAAGGACCGGCAGGGCCCCACCAGCCCGCAGCAGCCAGATCGCCCCAGAAGTACAACTTTTTCCTTTCTTGTTTAGGGTTTAGGCTTTAGGGTTTAGGGTTTAGTGTTTAGGACTTAAGGTTTAGGGTTTAGAGGCCCAAACTCAGCTTAACCTCCGAAGGCCTGAACCTCCCCAACACCATAAACCCTAAGCCTAAACCCTAAACCGGAACCCTAAATCCTGTCTCTTTAAGGGGGCAGGGGCAACTCGCCATATGGGAGGGACGGAGAGTACCCTGAAAGTAAGCCCTTAACAGCACTAAAGCTCCTTAACAACCCTACACTGTCCCGAAACCTAAACCTACCCAGAGGCTCCACTATCCCTTAATTAAGGAATATTCCATAAATCATAACAGGATCCGTAATATGATTTAAGGAATATTCCTTAATTAAGGGATATTGGAGTCTCTGGGTAGAACCCTCAGCCCAGGCTGCATTGCGAGCTGCCCGGCTCGGATGTGGTGGGCCTGCAGCGTTGCCAGCCAGGCGCACTGAAAGGAAACTCCACAGAGTGTCTCGGCCGTGAAACCTGCTTGGAGGTTCATGGGTAGTTATAAGTTATAAGTGTTCCTTTAAGGTTCATGGGTAGTTATAAGTAGGGTTATAAGTAGGGCAACTTCTTTTATAACCCACATTAGGGGACTTACAACCCCACTTGTAACTACCCATGAACCTCCAAGTGCTGGCTCGCAGTCTTGGGGTTATAGCGCTTAGGGTTTAGGGCTTGGGGA